AATTAAAAACAGTTCAATCAGAATATACTATAGGAAGATATATAGCATATTTTGTAAGAAATTGTAAAAAATGTCGAGAGCATTTATTATCATTAAATTTGATTATTTCATATATCGATAATCTTAGTCGTTTTGTATAATATAAATCCGTTCAGTTTATTTACCGAATGGAAATTTATTTCTGTAATTTTTTTAATTATAATTTTGAAATGAATTATTTTTATTTTAAGAATCAATATTTTAAACAAAAGAATATCAACGAGTTACCAAACGAGATTCTACTTATGATATTTTACCATATTTTCCCAGACAAGATAACCCTATCTGATTTACCAACCACATTATCGATCAAATTAGTTTGTAAAAAATGGCACGAGTTTTATCTTTTATTGTTCAAGACTCATGAAACCAAATATATTTTAACACCTAATATATATACTGTTAAAGATTATACTCCCGTTGAAAAAACTAAATCTTATTTTTATTATTATGAAAAGATTTTTTTAAAATATAACGAGAAGAGTTATGAAATCTCTTTTTCTTATTTTAATTTATTACGTTTCTTTGATTTTTCATTTCTAACTTTCGAATATTATCAATGCTCTAAAAAAGAATGTGAACGATGTTTAGAAAAAACAATTCTTCATACGTGGTTTCTAGATGAATTTTATGAATATAAAGTATCAAAATGCAAAACAAAAAATGAAAAATATCATTTTCACAAGATTTGTGAGAAATATTATAAAATTTATTCACTTAAATTTATTTAGAACGATGATTTAATTAAATCGATAATAAATATAAAATCTGTTCAGTATTTTTATACCGAACAGAAATTTATCAGAAAATTATTTCATCAAGATTAGAAATTGCTATGATAAAGGAATTGGTTTGTCTTCCAGAATACAATTTACTCAACTTTGTGATTCAATGTAAAAAACTATTTCATAATTTATTATTATTGGAAATTGCTATGATAAAGGAATCGGGTTGTGTTTAAAAAATTTCAGAATATTTATATTTCTTGGTGATTGTACTTAAAGTTTCTATATCTAATCAGTTTTTGACCGATTAGATTTTTCCCTTAGTAATTATCTGAATTCATTTAATAATTTTGAAATGAATTATTTTTATTTAATATTTAAGAATCGATATTTTAAACAAAAAAATATTAATGAATTACCAAACGAGATTCTACTTATGATATTTTACCATATTTTCCCAAACATGATAACATTATTTGATCTATCAACCACATTATCAATCAAATTGGTTTCTAGAAGATGGCATCACCTTTATCATTCACTCTTCAAAACTCACGGAACTAAATATATTTTATCATCTATTATGTGTACTTATGAAGATTATATTCCTATCAAAAAATCCGAATATTATTTTAAAATTGAAGATAGAGAGCTTGTTATAGACATCAAAAGAGGAATACAAATAACGTTACAAACTTTCGAAGAGTATGAACTTTCTAAAAAAGAATGTCAACGATGTTTAAAAAAAACAATTCTTTCTAAGTGGTTTATGCGTTTTAAAGATGAATTTTATGATTGCAAAGTTTCTGAGTGCTCTTCTAAAATAAGAAATGAAAAATACCACTGTCATGAGATTTGCAAGAACTGTTATGATATTTATTTATTAAATCTGGAAGATCATACCTTCTGTATTTAGTTTCTTTTTTTTATCTATATAAACCCCAGAAAAATCCTTTTTTTTGTTTTTTTTATAATGGAATTAACTGTTAGAGATCGGTACAAACCTATCTTTCTGTTCGATCGAACTTGCGAAAGCCTTCTCCCTTTGTCTATCAGTAATCTGTCTTACATCTATCTTTGTAATTTTTCTCAATTCCAATAAACAATCATCTAATCAGTCCAGGACCGATTAGATCTTTCTTTACGTAATTTTTACTTACTTCTTCAAAGGTGAGAGAGATTCACAACCTGTAATAATCTTTACTTTGTAAGACTTACTAACTCTCACTTCTGCTAACTCGGCGACTTCATGGTCAGTTGTTTGTCGACTGGTATTCATAATTGTGATTCATTTATTTGAATTATTTATGTTGTGATTCCAGATGCCGAAAATATCATCAATGAAATATTACGCTGTTGCTAAAGAAAGAAAAACTGGAATTTTTCTATCATGGAAAGAATGTGAAGAATATGTAAAAGGATGTCCTGGAGCTTTGTATAAATCATTTTATACAAAGATCGAGGCACAAGATTTTATAGATCAACAAAATATTGAAGTTAAAGACAAATTAAATGTTTGGACCGATGGATTTTGTAAAAGAAATGGATTATCAGATGCTGTTGGAGGCATTGGAGTATTTTTTAAAGATAAAGATCCGAGAAACTTGTCTGAACGACTTCCAGGTGAACAACAAACTAACAATCGTGCAGAAATATATGCAGCAATCAGAGCTCTCGAAATTTGCGACAAAAATGAAAATTTAATAATTAATACTGATAGTTTCTATGTTATTAATTCTCATAATGTTAAAAAACCCAAAAAAAATTTTGATTTAGTCAATAGATTTAATGATTTAATCAAAGAACGTAAAGGCAAAACATATTTTAAATATGTGAAGGGACATAGTGGTATTTACAGAAACGAACAAGCCGATAGGTTAGCATATTTAGGTTCAAAAAACCCGGCTATTGAATTGACTTTACCAGAACGTAAAAATAC